AAGAAGAAGAAGAAGAAGAAGAATAAGAAGAAGAAGAATAAGAAGAAAACAAAAAAAAAAAGGAGAGAGAAACAAGCAACACAAATCTGTGGTTAGAATTCCTTATATAGAGAAGAAATCGATGGCCAAATCCTTAAAGAAGAAGGAATCCTACTCTAGTAAAAAGTTGGAAGAAGGAATTCTACTACAATAAGGAGTTGGAAATTTTCTTTGAATTCTGTTAAAACAAGGAAATAGCAATTTTATTTATTCCTTCCTAAGTTAGGAATCCTACTACATTAAGGAATAGAAATACCACTGCAATAAGGAGTTGGGAAATTTTCTTTGAATTCTATTCAAACAAGGAGATAGCAATTTTGTTTATTCCTTCCTACGTTAGGACTCCTGCTACATTAAGAAATAGTCAAGTCAATTCCTAATAGGAAGTGTTAGAACTGATTTGTCTTTCCTGCATTGTGTTTTAATCGATTTTCCATTTTTTTTTTCTTTTAATTCATTTCAGTTTGTTTCTCTTATTGCTTTTCTTGTTGGTTCCTTCGTGTCTTTTCATTTCCTTCAACTCTTGTTGCAGATTTGTTGGAATTAGATTGCTACAAAATAACTTGAATTAAGCTTGTTTAGTTCAATAATGAACTGAAAGAGGAAAGTTGAGTGAAGGAAAAAGGCAAAAGGTGTGAGCAACATTTGAAAGAAAAGCCAAGTTCTATAGTGTGCGAAACACGAGGGTTAAGTGCCATTCTGCGAGATAGTGGATTGAAACACGTAATGGAGTGTTGTGAGGTCCTTTTATTTTCTGTTTCTAACATTCGTTGCAGGTTTCAATCATGTCAAGCGGTGATGATAAAAAACACCAACTGGAGGATTCCTTCATGCTCAAAGCTATGCAACAACAATTTCAGAGGCTAGACATCATGTTTGGTGAAATTAAAGACAAAATGGAGAAGCAAGATGCAACCATTGCCAAGTTATACCAAATACAGAATGGAAGTCCAAAGTTGCATAATCACGATCTTGATGACAATGACGAAGATGCATTCAACGATGATGCCCAGAACTCAAATTTCAACATGGACAGATTTATGAGAGGTAGAGGGGGTCCAAGATATAGATTTAACAAAGGAGACCAAAATCTGGCAAGGTGGGGAGATCGGCAAGATCATGACTTAGGCAGCATCAAGATGAAGATTCCTCCATTTCAAGGCAAAAATGATCAAGATGTATATTTGGAATGGGAAAAGAAGGTGGAATTGGTGTTTGATTGCCATAACTATTTTGAGGAGAAAAAGGTGAAACTAGCAGCGATGGAATTTACTGATTGCGTTGTGGTGTGGTGGGATCAGCTTGTGCTTAGTCGACGTAGAAATCGAGAGTGTCTTATTGACACTTGGGAAGAGATGAAGGCTATGATGATAAAACGGTTTGTTCCTAGTCACTACTACTGCGATCTCTATCAACGATTACAAGGCCTTACTCAAGGGTCCAGAAGCATTGAGGATTATCACAAGGAGATGGAAATCACAATGGTTAGAGCGAATGTCGAAGAAGATAGAGAAGCAAAAATGGCACGGTTTCTGCATGGTTTAAATCGTGATATAGCTAATGTGGTGGAACTACAGCATTATGTTGAATTAGAGGATATGGTGCACATGGCAATGAAAGTAGAAAGGCAACTCAAGCGTAAAGGTGCCACCACCAAAACTGGGCAAAATCTAGGTTCCTCATTTTCTTCGAAACCAAATTGGAGCAAAAAGGAAGAAAATTTTGCTTTTAAGCCTAAAACTTCAGCATCTAAGTCAAAAGAAGTTGGCAGCAGTGAGAAGAGTAAAACTGATAATATGCAAGGCAGAAACTGAGACATTAAGTGTTTTCGATGCTTGGGAAGAGGGCATATTGCATCGCAATGTCCTCATAAGCACACGATGATCTTGAGAGAAGATGGAGAAATTGAAACCAAGGGTGAATCTAATGATGAATCTATGCCACCATTAGAAGATGCTAATGATGGTGTGGAATATGCTGTTGATGGAGAACTGCTTTTCACCAAGCGAGCTTTGAATGTGCAAGCCAACAAAGATGATGAAGTACAATGTGACAATATATTTCACACGAGGTGCCATGTCGAAAACAAGGTATGTAGTGTGATTATTGATGGTGGTAGTTGTACTAATGTAGCTAGCACTATTTTAGTTGAAAAGCTTAATTTACCTATGACGAAGCATCCAAGGCCATATAAGCTGCAATGGTTAAACAATTGTGGAGAAATCAAGGTAAATAAGCAAGTTCTGGTTTCGTTATCTATTGGACGATATAAGGATGAGGTACTTTGTGACGTGGTTCCTATGCATGCTAGACATTTACTTTTAGGGAGACCATGGCGATATGATAGGAGGGTAACACATGATGGCTTCAAAAATCACTATTCATTTGTCATGGAGGGGAAAACAATTACTCTTGCACCATTGAGTCCAAGGCAGGTTTATGAGGATCAACTAAGAATAAAAAAAGAGAGTGAGCTTGAGGGTACGAAAAACAAAGAGAAAACAGCAGAAAAAGAGTCCAAAAAGAGAGAAAAGATTGAGAGTGTTGAAAACAAAAAGAGGAAATCAGTGAGTGTTTACGCAAAATAAAGTGATGTCAAGGCTGCGTTCTTTACAAACCAGCCTATGTTTGTGCTTCTGTATAAAGATGCTTATTTCAACACTAACGAACTTAATGATTCTTTGCCTAGTGTTGTTAAATCTCTTTTGCAGGACTTCAAGGATGTGTTTCCAGATGACGTTCCTAATGGTTTACCACCAATAAGAGGAATAGAGCATCAAATTGACTTCATTCCTGGTGCAACAATTCCAAACCGACCAGCATATTGAAGCAATCCCAATGAGACAAAAGAACTTCAAAGGCATATCGAAGAACTCATGAAAAAGGGACATGTGAGAGAAAGCATGAGTCCATGTGCAGTTCTAGTGCTACTTGTGCCTAAGAAGGATGGGACTTGGCATATGTGTGTTGATTGTCGCGCAGTCAACAAAATCACTGTAAAGTATCGTCACCCTATTCCTAGATTAGATGACATGTTAGATGAGTTGCATGGTTCTTGCATATTCTCTAAAATTGATTTAAAGAGTGGATATCATCAGATTAGGATGAAGGAATGAGATGAATGGAAAACAGTCTTTAAAACGAAACATGATTTAAATGAGTGGTTAGTTATGCCATTTGGATTAACTAATGCACCTAGTACATTCATGCGATTAATGAATCATGTTTTGCGTGCTTTCATTGGCAAATTTATGGTTGTTTATTTTGATGATATTTTGATATATAACAATAGTTTAATTAAACATATTGAGCATGTGCAAATGGTATTAGAGGTGTTGAGAAAAGAAAAGTTGTTTGCTAACCTTAAAAAATGTTACTTTTGCACAAATTAGATTGTTTTTTTTTTTTTTGGGGTATGTTGTTTCAGCTGATGGAATCGCAATAGATGAAGAAAAGGTTAAGGCTATTAAAGAATGGCCAACACCTAAAAATATTGCTGAGGTGTGGAGTTTTCATGGTTTGGCGAGTTTCTACCAGAGATTCATCAAGGACTTTAGACAATTGTAGCACCATTAATTGAAATTGTGAAAAAAAGTGTTGGATTTAAGTGGGAAAGTAAACAGGAGAATGCTTTCAATTTAATTAAAGAAAAGTTAATTTCTGCACCGTTACTTGCTTTACTTGATTTTACTAAAACTTTTGAAATTGAATGTGATGCATCAGGTATTGGCATTGGTGCTGTTTTGATGCAAGAGCGGTGACCTATTGCATTTTTCATTGAAAAATTGACTAGTGCAACACTTAACTATCCTACTTATGACAAGGAGATGTATGCATTGGTAAGAGCTTTAGAGACATGGCAGCATTATCTTTGGCCTAAGGAGTTTGTGATACATACTGATCATGAGTCGTTGAAGCACCTAAAGGGACAAGGTAAGTTGAATAGATGACATGCTAAGTGGGTGGAATTCCTTGAGACGTTTCCCTATGTGATCAAGTATAAGTAAGGAAAGGAAAACATTGTGGCTGATGCATTATCTTGTAGGTACACATTTATTTCTACCCTAAGTGAAAAGTTATTAGGTTTTGAGCACATTAAAGATTATATGCTAATGATCCAAATTTTGCTAACGTGTTTAATGCATATGAGAAGATTGCTTTTGATAAGTTTTATAGGCATGAAAGGTACTTGTTTAGAGAAAGCAATTATGCGTGCCTAACTGTTCCTTAAGAGAATTGTTAGTAAGGGAATCTCATGCGGGATGCTTAATGGGACATTTTGGAGTTAGGAAAACTTTAGATATTCTAAATGATCACTTCTTTTGGCCACACATGAAACGTGATGTTGAAAGGATCTGTGAAAGGTGCATAACATGTAAACAAGCAAAATCTAGAGTTTTACCACATGTTTTGTATACTTCTTTACCCATACCTATTGAACCTTGGGTTGATGTATCTATGGATTTTGTTTTGGGCTTACCAAGGTCAAAAAGAGGCCACGATTCTATTTTTGTTGTTGTTGACAAGTTCTCGAAGATGGCACACTTCATTCCATGTCATAAAATTGATGATGCAACCAAAATTGCGGATCTATTTTTCAAGGATGTTGTTTGTTTACAAGGCATTCCAAGGATTATTGTTTCTGATCGCGATGTCAAGTTCTTGAGTTACTTTTGGAAGACATTGTGGGGAAAGCTGGGAACTAAGCTATTGTTTTTGACTACTTGTCATCCACAAACTGATGGACAAACAGAAGTGTTTAATAGGACGTTGTCAACCTTATTGTGTTCTATTATTTAGAAGAACTTGAAGAACTAGGAATAGTATTTGCCACAGGTTGAATTTGCTTATAATCGAAGTGTTCATTCAGCAACTAACTGTTCACCATTTGAAGTTGTGTATGGTTTTAATCCACTCACTCCTTTAGATTTATTGCCTTTACCTATTGATGAACAAGCTAGTTTGGATGGGAAAAAAAAAGTTGGAGTGGTTAAGCAACTGCATGAGAGGGTGCAACAAAACATAAAGCAATGAACTAAGCAATATGCAAAACAAGCCAACAAAGGACGCAAGAAAGTTGTATTTGAACCTGGAGATTGGGTTTGGGTGCATATGCGCAAGGAGCGATTCCCTGTACAAAGGCGTTCTAAGCTGCAACCAAGAGGCGATGGACCATTTCAAGTGATTGCGAGGATTAAGACAACGCATACAAGTTGGAGCTTCCTGGTGAGTATAATGTTAGTGCTACTTTTAATGTTTTTGATCTTTCTCCTTTTGATGTAGGTGACGATTTGAGGACAAATCCTTTTGAGGAGAGAGGGAATGATGGGAATCAAGATGACAGCATATCTATTACGTCATGTGATCCATTACACACCCAAGGAGGACCAGTCACGCGAGCTAGAGCTAAGAAGATGCGTGAAGCTTTAAATGGCCTTATTGAGCAGATTTGGGTTGAAAACAACATACAATAAGCAAATCGAAGCTTGGATGATTATCAAGGCATGGTAAACATCATTCAGGTTCAAGAGAAGCTTAGTTGAGATCCTTTGCACGGAATTACACAGTTTGCGTCAAAATCACACAATTCGGCCGCAATTTGTAGCAAACTGATATTTAATGTTATTTTAGGTTATTTTTAGTGATTTTCACGTTTTTTGTATTATTTTTGGGCTGAATATTCAGTTATTTGAAGCCCAATTCGTGGTTAATAGGTTTAGGACTTAGGGTGTTAATTTCCTATTCTGATTAGGATTTGTTTTCTCTATTGAAAAGGCTTGTAACCCTAATGGAGAAGGGGGAGGCTATTAAATCTGAGATTTTGAGAGACTTTTCTCTTTGGTTCATTTCAGAACTTTACAGAACTTATCAAGATTATTCTTGTGGCCTTCTAACCTAATTTATCATTCTCGTTCTTAATCATTCGAAGGTGTGGCGTCAACCAACTTTATACCTCTGATTCTTGTTGCGTCATAGACAACGGGTCAAGGTTTTTACCTTTGGTTCTTATTGCGACATAAACAACGGGTCAAGATCCTATTATAAATCTAATTTAATTTTCCTGGAGTTTAGAAATCCCTTGTCGTGCTGTGGGTCTTATTGTTCTCTTTGGGGTTCTCATCAATCATTGTGAATGTATTTGACAACTTACTTCTCTTTCTTCTTTCCACTGCATTTCTGCACCGTCCTCTAGCATGAACTTGCCTCTACTCATCTCACTTCCAGTCCAACCATGTGTTGCAATTGTTAGTCCAATCTCTTCATTCAGTTCAAATCTGAGTGTCTCATAGAAGTTTACAAGAGCGGCTTTGGCAGCCTACAAAGTTTGAGTGAGAAGATTTTGGGGGAGGAGGGGCATAAGGATATATACATAATTGCTTGAAAATGCTACAGAAAACAAACCACCAAGTACACAAGATAAACAAATATGTCATACTTGATTTATATACTCACAGAATATAGACTCGTTCTTGGCAATGGAAACCAGTCCCAAACTTGCTGTGTTCACTAGATGATCCACTGAGAGATCGGATATCAAGTCAGAGAAACAGAACAAGAAAAAATTAAGCAAACTTTACTTGAGCTCAATTTTATTGCCAATATTAAGAAGACATTCATAGAAACCAAGATAGCATCCTGAATTGAACATATTTAGTGCTAGACTAGGTGGTTCTTTATGACGTAAAGTAAAATCCTAGGATCAATCAAAATCCCCCAAATCACATGGATGGAATTTGCTAATTAAAAGCTTAGGAGCGTATATAGCAAAGTTGTTCAAAAGGAATTGATAGAGATGAATCCCCTGACTAAAATAGCAATAGTAGTTCTTCATCATATTGGACAGCGTTGAAAGCTTTGTCATTAGCGAAATCTATTTCTATTGGTAAATTCAAAAGTTTTTCGTACAACAATAATCATCTTCTTCACCACGTTATTTCAAAATCCCCAGACGTTTTAAAATTGTCATTTCTCTTCTACAGGTTTGGGGTGGGGGCTAACTTCTTTACCACATCCCTATCTGTTCTTGATATCTCTAATTATTGTGAGAACGTGGCATCAAACATGACATTGATGGAACCTACCACGTCCATAGTAACTTAGTAAGTTATGGCTTCATTAACAAATCTCCTGCAATCATCTTCCTTGACAACATCTGCAGCTGTGATGAGGACCTGCTTTGCACCAAAATGTCGTGCTTTCTCACTAATTCCCCGGAGTCGATCCTCTCTTCTAGCAACCAAAAGAAGACTTGCTCCCCTCTTTGCATATTCATATGCAATTTGCTGCAATCCCAAAAAATATAAGACCGAGTCAAACAAGTTATTTAAAAAAGTAAAAGCATGCATTTCGATTTTGGATAATCTAGAGAATAAACAGAGCTTCAGAGAGGAATTGGATTTCAGAAAAAGAGCAAAGATTAGAAGAAGAACAAAGGAATTTAGTTACCTCTCCGATTCCAGAAGAAGCTCCAGTGATTATAACTACTTTATCCTCCATATTTTCCATGGTGTACAAGGTGTTGTAGAGGCGTTCACATGCTCGGATGAAGCACAAAGTAGGCCATGCAAAAGCCAGCATTACCAAGCAAGCCGGCGGCACCGCCAGATTGAGGAAAAAGTTTATGAAATCCATAGCCGAGCTTAAGATACCAAGATTGGTGAACTTAGAAATCATGCTGTGTTTTGAGGGCGTGATATGAGAGGAAGTCGGTGAATTCTGATGATGCCATGGTTACACGCAAGACGTGATGAACACACGTGTTTGATTGCAGAGCTGATGTTGCGACGGATGGACGGCCTTCTGGATGTTTTGTGCATGAACTTGCGTTGCTGTTCTCTTTTTTATCTTTTCCTGTTTGTTAGTTTTAAACACAATTTTTTTTATTAATTTTTTTATATCTGATAATTATATTTATTTCAATTAATTTAATTAGATTTGAATTCAAAATTTTATTTAAAAGAAATTAAAGTCTTTTTACTTAAATCAAATAGATTTCGTTAGTAGTATTAAACATTATTTTATTACATAAGGTGTTGTCTCTTTTATTTTTTTTGGCGCTATTAAGGTGTGCTAGTTTAGTTAATGAAGTTTTTTAATTTAATTACGGAATCTTTTATTTTTTTTTATGGGCGGAAGTTTAATTTTTTAGATATGAATAAATATATAATTTTTATAAATTTTTTAATTTTGTATTGTTAATTTATTTTTAATCAAAGAATTATTTTTAGTATATTTATAAGTTAATTTA